ATATGTGTGTTTTTTCAGATGCAGATGTGTGTGTGTGTGTGTTATTAAAGCCTTCATTCTCTCTCTCTCTCTCTCTCTCTCTCTCTCTCTCTCTCTCTCTCTCTCTCTCAGTGTCCGTTGAGTTGGCAGAATAAATGGGAAGGCCCTGAAGACCCGATGCAGTATCTGCGAGCTGTGGTATCCAGAGCACTCGCCATTCAGGTAAACAAGCTCTGGCCGCAGTGGAAATGTGTTGATCCAAGGGTCGTGGAATGTGTTTGACCTCCTCCAGGTGTCCTTCAGTTTGTTTAGCCGTGTCTATGGGAGCGTCACCATCCTCATATGCAGTCGAAGACAGAGTTATTTGCCCTCCTGTGAATTTTTCAAATATTTCCCAAATGATGTCTACTAGAGCAAGGAATTTTTCACAGTATTTCCTATAATATTTTTTCTTCTGGAGAAAGTCTTATTTGTTTTATTTTGGCTAGAATAAAAGCAGTTTTTAATTTTTTTAAAATCATTTTAAGGTCAATATTATTAGCCCTTTTAAGCTATATTTGTTTAGGATTGGCTACAGAATAAACCACTGTTATACAATGATTTGCCTAATTAACCTCACTTTAACCTAATTAACCTATTTAAGCCATTAAATGTCACTTTAAGCAGAATACTAGTGTCTTGAAAACTGTCTAGTCAAATATCAGACCCTGTAGTTTGTCACTGTTATTTTGTGATTTTTTGCTATAAAAATGACAAATTTTGTGGTGGTAATTTCGAGAAATTTGCGGAATATTTTCTATTTAAAAAAATATATATAAACATAAAATAGAGGAAGGTTGTATAACTCTTATTTTTACCCACAATCTTACTTTGCCTATCTCAGATTTCACTCTCCGGAGCATCATGTGCCTCCCTTAGGACATGCTTTAGGGACTCCGCTGCCGTAATACACCTAAAACATGGATTGCCGAAAAGCTCGTCAATGGCAGGGGGGAAGTGTTTTCTTTCGTCAATGACAGGGAAGAGTTAAACAAAATCGTTTATAGATTTGACGCAGCCATACATGTAAAGCACAAATAATGTCTTTCAATTCGGTCACGTCCAGCCGCCGTCATCTCTGAACTAATCTCCATCATTGTAAGCTGCTTTCTGTTCTGTCTGTTCCATTGCTCCGTTTGTTAGATGTTTACTCCCACTTTCTTTTGCAGTCTGAAGCCTGTCAAACACACAAAATACCCAATTTGCGCCATGTCATTCACTCGATTTGCACCACAGAATGTCTAATCTAAGCTTTGCATTGAATTCACATGTAAATCTCTTGCGCTTGACCATAAATATATACATTAGATGTCGCATACCCTGCTGTTGTCTGTTAGAGGCAATGCGTCAATGAGTCGCCGTTTTAGTTCAGGGTAGCGCTCTTTTGAAATGAATGCGATGCCAAGGTGCAGTGGAGGACTGTGGCCATCCAGAGCCAGAAATATACACATATAGACATATATATCTATGATCGGGACTTTTCCTGGTTGTTAATATGCAAATATTTTTTAAATTACAAAAATTATAATTTTATATCACTTTTCCACATTGATGGATGTGACCGCACGGGCATTGCAGACAAGGAGTATGTGTTTGTGTGCATTGTAATGTATTATCCTTCCTCCCTGTTTAATTTGATCTAATCCGAGTCCTGAAACACACCCCCTCTCCTGCTTTCACTTCTCACTCTGACGCGATTTGTTTCTGAATGAATCCCCATTATGAACGACTCGTTCACTTAAGCCTGGTTTATATTTCTGCATCAAGTGACCGGCGTAACCCACGGCGCATGCAACGCGTGCAGCTGTGCATTTACACTTCTGCGCGCTGTCTCTGTTGGCCTGCATTAACACTTTTGAAACACTAGTTGGCAGTGAGGTGTTAATGTTTCTCTGTGTCCAGTTTCTTCGCTGGTGTTTTGTTTTTTCTGAACGCTTCCTGAATGTACAAGTGGCTCAAACTCGCTCATTTTGAGGCAGGAACCTTCGGACGTGCAACAACTTTAACTATGAGTTAAACACAAAACAAAACTTTCCATCCGGAGCTCCTTGACGGGACTCCACACTTGTAAACAATCGCTCCATCGGGCTCGCGTCGCTCGCGCGGCTCTCGGTCCCGCCCAGACTCGTCAGCATTTCCAAGCCGACCAGTCACGGAGCTTGCGCTACGCGTTGTTGCGGGGTGTAGTTACATTCTTTTAGAGGTGCACGTCAGCGACGCCAACAGCCACAGTGTAGGGCTATGCGTCAACGCGAAGGCTGCGCCATAGCATACATGGTGCAGATGTATAAATCAGCTTTTATATAATACAATAATACAAGTTTCTGGCACCGCAGCATCTTGTTGTCATTTTATTTACATTGGTTGCTGATTTTATTCAACAAAACTAGCATAAGCCTGGTATTTAGTGCGTGTTGGTGCTCCTTTGCCTTATGGTGAATTCAGTAAGTGACAATATTATCGTCAATAACATTAAATGTTAAGCACAAACATTCATAACATATAAAAACGTAAAAAACGAAATCTTACCTATGAAATGTGATACCTTTGTGTTTTGTTTTCTTTGTTTGCTCGTTACTACACCCGTACACAGGACTAAGGTCCAGCATCTTCACATTGGCTGTAGTCTTGACTAGTGCGGTTGAATGACATTTGTCCTGGGAGCACTGTACAAATGTGGCGGCGCTATTGACGCATGCTCAGGGTCGTATGCGACATCTAGTATATATATCTATGGCGCTTGACGCTTGATCCTCGTCTGCTTACTGCACAGGCTGCACAACAATTTCCCTTCTCTCTCATGTGATGTTTGGATAATGAGTGGGAAGGTGACACGTCATCTTTCGAGAGACACTCAAATACATGACGTGCGCTGCGTACGCCTTTAGGTCACGTAAACAATTGCAAACTGAAATAAATATAATTTGATTGTATGGTCTAGAATTTGATGTTTTATGAGATTTTTTTGCGTTTAAATTAAGAGTTTTGCAGGATCGCTAAATATTTTTGTTGATTTTGCGTTGTATTCAACGATCGCAAAATTGCGAAAAACTAGCGAGTGAAATATTAAATACTGTGATCATAGCAAAGATAAAAGAAATCAGTTATTAGAAATGAGTTATTAAACTATTATGTTAAGAAATGTGTTGGAAAAAAACTTTTCTCTGTTAAACAGAAATTGTAGGAAAAAATATGCGGGGGGCTAATAACTCTGACGGGAATGCCACGAAGGAGCCATGTTTGTTCAGGATGCACCTGGCCTTGTAAAGCACTCACATATTTTCCTGATGTAATGGAGCCATGCAGAGCGATCATCTGACCTAATGAGTCTCCCGAGACGTTTGCCTGTCTCGCTCGACAGCTGCCAGCCGACGGCGCGTCTTCAAGCAACTCTCCGTGTTTTCCTGGTGTAAAGCCGTAGGAATGTAGGCCGCGGTGTCACAGATGACTCATCTCATTATATCAGGGCTTTTCTCTCCTGTTTTTTTGCGCTCTTTTGTGCTTTGGCTTGGGATAAAAGCGATTTCTGAATAGCAGCCGTGCTGTAAATTCCAGCTCTGTGAAGCTCATGGCAGAGCGTTTGCGATAACACCGGGTCACAGCGCTCTGCTTCACATACTGCACAGTGTAGTTTGCTGATTTTCACTGCTGTTCATGGACTCTCACAATGATTTACTGGAGTAACTTGCTGCAACATAATGTAGTTATTGTTGGCTGTTATTGTTGGTGGAAATAAAGCCACATTATCTGGGTATTACCATCTGTATTCATCTAAAAACACGATAATGGATGAACAGATATATATACACATAGTTTGATGGATGGATGGATGGATGGATGGATGGATGGATGGATGGATGGATGGATGGATGGATGGATGGATGGATGGATGGATGGATGGATGGATGGACTTGGCTTAGATAGATGACATATTGATGGATGGAGGATTGGACAGATGGATAGTTTTAGAGATGGGTGTATGGATGGATGGATGGATGGATGGATAAAGGATTGGACAGAGAGATAGATAGATGCTTAGGCTTGATGGATTGATAGTTAGATTTAGGGATGAATGAATGGATTGGGGATGGATGGATGATTGATTGATGGACTAATAGATGGAAAGACTAATAGACAGAGGACTGGAAGACTTAGGAATAGATGGATAAATGGATAAACTTTATGGATGGATGGATGGATGGATGAATAGACGCATGGACAGACGGATGGATAGACAGATGAATGGATACACTTGGCCAAAATAGATTGATGACATTAATGGATGGAGGATTGGACAGATGGATAGATAGATGCTTAGGTTGGATGGTTAGATAGACTTAGGCATGGATGGCTGGATGGATTTAGGGGTGAGTGAATGGATTTGGTTATAAATGGATGGATAACTAAGTGATGGACTGATGGATGGAAAGACTACTGGATAGAGGACTGGATGGATGAATAGTCTTATGAATGGATGGATTAATGGATTAATGGATAGACTTGATGGATAGATGGATGGATGGATGGACTGATGGATGGATGGACAGACAGACGGATGGATGAATGGATGGATGGATGGTCTTGGCCTGGACAGATAGATGACATTGATGGATGAAAAATTGGACAGATGGATGGATGGATAGATAGATGCTTAGGTTTAATTGTGGGATGGATAGGCGGACTTGGCCTAGATAGATGACATATTATTGGATGGAAGATTAAACAGATGGAAAGATAGATTTAGAGATGGGTGGATAGACTTAGGGATTGATAAATGGATGGACAGATGGATGGATGGATGGATGGATGGATGGATGGACGGACAGACGGATGGATGAATGGATGGATGGATGGTCTTGGCCTAGACAGATAGATGACATTGATGGATGAAAAATTGGAGAGATGGATGGATAGATAAATAGATAGATGCTTAGGTTTAATTGGAAAGATTAAACAGATGGAAAGATAGATTTAGAGATGGGTGGATAAATGGATAGACTTGGTGAGACAGATAGATGCTTAGGATGGATGGATGGATGGATGGATGGATGGATGGACGGACAGACTTGGCCTAGATAGATGACAGATTAATGGGTGGAGGATTGGACAGATGGATAGATAGACTTAGGGATGTGTGGATAATCAAATTTACTTGATGGATGGACTTGGCCTAGATAGAGAGA